CACCCTCCAATAAAAATAATCAGGGCTCCTAAGAGAAATGATTGATTTCAAGACTGGTACAGAAAATATATGAAGTATATTTGGAGTATCTTACAGTGTCAGAAATTTAGGACATGTTCCAATGTTCACACACGAAAGCATGTATATACACTGAGGGGTGTAGAAGGGGACTGAAAGAGCCCTTCATGCTCAAAGACGGAAGAATCTGACCAACAAAATAGACTAGAGAGGGGACCTCAAGATGTTTGCAGAAAAGTAGAATCAAAAGGCAACTTCATCTTAAGGCAAAAAGATTTGGAAGCCAGTGCATAGTTTTTATAATATGCCTTTTCCATGAACTTTTTGGATGACTCCTCCCATGCACTGATTTAAAGAACGTTTGCACCAGAATAAACTTATGTTTTAATTCAGTTTTCATGAAGATTTGGAATGGAAGTTCCCTCACTGGATCATAACAGGAAGTCCAAAATAAATAGCTACAATTCTATCCTGATATAAAGATTGAATAAATTAGCAAAAAAAAAAAAAAAAAAAAAGGAGAGCCAAATCTCCTGTGGAGAAGAATTTCAAATAAATTACATAGTTTTCCCAACCTGCAAGGAGGGGACTCTAATTCCCAGGGCCTTAAGTGTGAGCCATACCTAGTGGCTTTCTTCCAAGGAATATGGCACAGGAAGGAGGAGAGGTAGGGAAGAGCCACTTTACAGTGGAAAACTTCAACCATGCCTTGGCCAGTCAGTCATAACACATGTTAACAGGATGTATTCTTGACATAATATGATCAGACACCAAGCTTCCTCTGGGGTCCCTATAAATCTATTGCAATCGTGAGAATAACGTCAGAAAGGTTCCAATAGAGGGGTATCTTTATCATATCTACTCAGGAATCCTCACACTTGCCAAGTTAATAAAAATTTAATCAAGTCTCAGAAATTGTTATTGCAAGGAGTCATCTGAGCAGCTTTGAAAACTTAATGTAGCATCTGGGATGAATGAGATCTTTGAAGAGAAAAAGAAAATTAGGATAAAAACTAAGGGAATCTGAAAAAACAGTGGCAGTTTATAAGAACAGACTAATACTGGTTCAATCCTTATGATATGACCGTTACTACTGTAAGACGCTAATTAGCAGAAACCATGACGGCAAAAGGGAGAAAAAGAGGGGGGATTCTATACTTTGTTCTCAAATTTTCTGTACATCAAACTACTCTAAGAAATAATTTTTTTTTTTTAGCAGGAGGGGAAAGAAAATTAAACAATACCCACAATGGCTTAAAATAACAACTGTAACAATCCTTTGTTTTAAAAATGACTTTTCCAATAGAGAAACTGAATAGGAAAAATTAGTTGCCCCAAATCCTATAAAGATTATAAAAAAAAAACAAAGCAAAAAAGTCCACTGAGTAGAAGGAAAACTGTTGCAAATTTACTGTAATTAGGTTGCAGGCTGGGAACAATAATTTCCTCTAATTGGATTTGTCAGAGTGTTGCTGGAAATATTGATTTAACTGGATTACATGCACATTTATTGAGCACTTGCTACCTGAAAGGTCCTTGGTTTTGGCTCTGGGTTGTGGACATAAAAGCTGAATAAATATGGCTCTGAAAACTGTTGATATCCATAAGAACCTTACAGCATTACAAGTACACTCAAATGTAATGCAAGATACTAGAATAGAAGGGACAGGGAGAGGCCATTCCAAGGGGAAGCGTTCTGTTGGGGGTAAAGATTTCTGTAGATTAATAAGGAGGTCTGTTTGGCCAGAGTGTGCATTAGAGGAAATCATGGACTCCAGGGGTGTGATAGGTTGTAAGGGGTTGGGATGGAGCACCTGCTGTCATTCTTTCAGAGCATTCATCACTCCAGAGCCAGAACGGCAACTGGGAGAGCCAAGAGGACTTAGGGCAAGGACAGCAAGCCTTCCAGCAGTGAGGTCACAACCGCAGCTTTTAGTAAGATTGGGAAAGAGGACACAGAGTTATATGGCACTGTTGCTCAGCTGGCCTTCATTGGGATTTTCTTGAATGGTGTAGTACTCTGTGTAGCAGCCGGCTCTCCTGACAACCACGACTGTGCCCTACATCCTGTTTGAAGGCACCTGCTGGTACTTGAGGAAAGTCACTGACACCAAAGGATGCCTCTTTGGTTTGCTTGATACAAGGCGGATCAACTTACATGATGTTTTATTCCTGTTTTATGAAGCTATTAATTTCCCCTAATAATAAAAGCAGTGCATGACCATTACATAACTGAGGATTCCATAAAAGTTCCTTATTCAAAAGCTATCACTTTCATGAGTTTCTTGTTTCCCTCAATTTAATATTTTTCTTCTATGCACAAAGTATTTAGAAATAGTGTCACTGGTATTTGTGGACACTAACTTAGTCATATGCATTCTTTTAGGTTATACTTTAATCAACAAATAATAAATTGCTTAAAGAAAAAAGCAGCATTTTTGAAAATCAGAATCCACAGCTGCTTGTCTGAATGGCAGGGACTCCATTCCTGAGAAAACACTTTTGTGCACACTTCATGGTACCAAAGTGTGTTGTATTTTCATTTTCTGTTCTATAAATACATAGTCCAATATGTAATTTTTATATTAACAGTAGAAAATAAAAACAATAAGAACGTCTACAAGGAAGACTCTAACCGCAAAATACTCTATATCTAAAGGAGCACATGTTTTATAAGGAATTTTTAATAGTGTGAAGTTTGTTAGACATGTGACTGTCATGCTCGAGAACAGATTGTATTCATTTTACAAACATAGAAAATATATGCACAGTATTTATCATATTGGAATAAACATACATATATTTGCATCCTTCAACTTTCTAGTGTATCTCACATATAATTAAATGTTACTAGATTACGTAAATTAAATATGCTTTAATGGATGATGATCTGTTTCTAAAATTTACCCTTTCTTTAATAACCACACCCAGGACAAGCACTCTATCATCACCTTGTTTCTTACCTGAATTATCAGAGCAAAGCTTATAAGCCTTTTTACCAGTCTCTAGTCTGCCTCTTTCCGAATCATCTTGCTCGCCTCTTTTGCATGCAGCAAAGATCGTGTCATTCCTTCTCACACAGCTTCAACAGCTCCCAATGACTGCATGATAAAACACTCATCTCCTGGTCTGGTTTCACAAGTCCAGGCCCTCTCTACACCTCATACTGTCTATGTTCCCACTAAACTCACCTTGAGGGTCTTCAGGTCTTCCCCTGAGATTCCAACATCACCACTGCTCTTGTCTGTCATGCTGTCTTTCCCTTGTCTCTTAAAGAGATATGGTGTAATCCAAGTGTCTTTCCCTTGGATTACACCATGTCTCTTTAAAGTTAGGACTTGGCAGATTCAGTGTGCGGCAGTTAAATGTGAATCACAGTCACCAGAGGGGACTTTAATCTAGGCACCGTGCAAGAAGAGAGGGAGTAGAGATGTGTAAAACAGTCTGTCCTTGGGATTTCACAACTCAAGAGGGTGAGACAAACACTATAACATCATCACCATCATCATCATCATCATCATCACCATCATCTCCCGAGTCAAGCGACTCCATGAATAAACAGAATTAAACACATAATACAGTGACAGGCAAGGGGAGAGAACAGACTTTACCTGTGCGGGCTAGGCTGTGAAGAAATGATTAACAGGAAGCAGGAAAGTGCCAGACAATAAAAAGAAACCCAGAGTGGTCTACTCAGGAAGTTTTAGGAAGGTGGATCTTTCTGGAGCGGGGGAAAGGCTGCCGTTGGAGTGTAAGGATGAACAGCATTGCTAAAACATGACAGAGGGCTTAAGCCAAATGCTCTGCTCCTTTCCTTGCTGCCAATGGTTATTCCAAATGTCGGTCTCAGCCTGCAGTTTCCCATGTCTACTATGGTTTGCCTCCAACTAGAATATAAACTTTGGGAAGGCAGAATCCAACACACAGTGACTATTTCAGCAATCTTAGTTTCACAATTGACTTTCATCCAGGTAGCTGTGTGCTCAGTGCATAAAGGGAATTCAGAGCATCGGTGACAAGGCGACAGCAATGTTGAATAAAGACCAACACACGGAAACGGCCAGTGTGGGTGGCAGAAATGTTCTGGTTAGTGATTTTGCTTCTAGGACAGTTTTAGTTGTGATTAAAAGGGCAATTTAATACACTTTGTTTCAAAATGTCATATTTTAGCACATTTGTGTTTGTCAATAACTGGATAAGCAACAGTAAAATAACAAGTATGGATTTTCACTATGATAATCAGATTTGCTTCTAAGAATTGCTTGAATGAAATGATGATTAATCAATCACTCCCTTCAGACTGGCAGTCATGCTTCTCCAAACTCCACTGGCAGAACAAAAATTTTTTGGCCCGAAATGGCATCTTCTGTATATACAGGTGTGTGGTCTTATGAGCAACCAGCAACTGAGCCAGCGCTGGTGATGAACAGAGAAGGCTTGAAACTGGCATCTTGTTCTATCTAAGTTAACATAAACCAGTGAAGGGGCACTTGTGCCTTCTGGCAGGGAGGAAACAGAATGGTATAAGGAATATTCAAATGAGACTCTCGGAAGTTTCACTGCTTGATTATATGATGTCTGATTCACAGGCTGGGATGCTAACCAGCACTGTCAAGTGCATTACTTCCCATGTACTGATGAACAAATGTCTCATGTTGTTCACTGTCATTCCTAGGTACCATTGTGAATGCACAGTCTGGTTGTCAAAGGTAAAGACCCAGGCAGAGTCACCAAAGGGTCAGATAGTCCAATGGCAACAGGCAGGTAAAATGTGCAGTCTTAGAAATACTATGTGGTCTAAATGATTGTGTCTGTGGGGCAAAAGAATCATAAAAAGTCTACTACCTTCATAGAAACCCAGATCCCCAATGTGGTTTCATCTTGTCAGAGACCCACCCAGGCTCCTTTATGTAACGCATATTTTCTCTTGAAAGAGATCTCCAAGTCCCTCCTTGCCTATGTTTATAATATGATATTCTTACATCAGTCTGGGAATGTCACTGACAGCCACTGTTCCATCATGGGTCTCGCTCTCGCCGTCCTCCTCCTCTTCTTCACTGCTCTCCGACTCCTCACTGGAGGAGGAGTAGTCGGTCACCTTCTTCAGTGGTCGGTTTGTCTCTTCAATGCGGAGTTCTCTCAGTTCTTTAGCTAATGCTGTCAGATCCTACAAACAGAGATGGTCTGCTTAGTGTGTGTGACATGTCAAGAAGACCACAGCGACTTCTCTCAGCAAATCAGTGTTCCAGCTTAAGCAACAAGAAAAGAAGCAGCTCTCTATAGAACTGTGACAAACATAGTTACTGCATGGAGCTAAGGAAACGATGTTTGCAGCACGTAGAAGCTAGAAAAAAAAAGATGAAATCCTTTTACACTTTGTTCAAGACCCATAGCAAGACTTAGACTTTTGAGTTTTGAATATATATGTATGTATGTTGTGTGCATACACACATATGCAGACAGGAAGTTCTCATTTTACCTCGGGCAGGTGAAGTTGGACACCCTCAGAGTTCATGGGAAAATGCATGGGATTAGAAATTGTTCTGCAGTGTTCCAGGGTTCCTGCCCAAGCCACAGCAATGTCCTCTCCCCTCTACCACTACTCTTCCCACCTCTAACATCTGTCCCAGAATAATCCCAAGGTTCCAGCTACTCTAATGACTCTTTGAGTGTGTCATCATTTCCTGGAGAGCAGAGGCACTGCATCAAATGATAGCCCACCCAAAGCCTGGGCTCACTGCCATTGAGAGCCAGAACAGAACAAAACTAGAACCACAACAAAAAAACCTGAGTCCTCTCTCACAAGGACAGGAGTTTCATGTTCTTTTGTTTTCCATTCCAGTTCTCCAGCAGACACCCTGGTGGAGAACACAGCAAGAAATGTGCAAAACTCCCAGAGGGAGAGACAACTTTGCAGGGTCCAGGAGGATGATGAAACCTTTAGCCTTATGGATGTGATGAGGTGGCGTTGGGTCACCAGGCACATGGCGGGCTGAGCGTCTGACTGCCTCTAATCATTCATGCTTTCAGAGCAACGCGGGAGAGAGAAGCAGTTCAGCCACAGCATGGCCACTCTACTTTGCATGGGTCCAACTGCCCATGGCACAGCATGCAGTGAGCAAAAGGCAACTGGACATCAGTCTTACCATTTCTCCCTATATAGGGACCCATGTGGAAAGATAGGGAATCAGGGAGAAAAAAACTCATTGAAAAATACTAAATCCCACAGTTTTCTTAGGGCCATATTCTCTCTTTACTTCAATGCAGAAATGTATTTGTTCAATTCACCTGATGTAGGATCAGCACAATCTAGGTGATCTAGATGATGATATAAAATCTATCCAAATTGATAAGAAACTAAAATGTGTGTAGTTACATTATCATTGTGACTTTAAGAACACAGTAACGCTAGCATGTTTCTCTGCAGCCACCTATAAGTCAGGCATGACTATTTCAGTTAAAACTTGGAGTCAGAACTTCCACATTGTATTGAAGTTCGAGAAGTTCAAAACACCCAGGGGTTAAGTGAAAGACACAATTCTTTCTGATGTCAAAGGGAAAGAAATAGTGACTTTTTAATTTGTCCTAAAGTCACCTGCAATGAAGCTCTTGGAAAAGGATAAGTGTGTGAAGACTCAAGCCGTGCACTGAATACACAAACACACTCGCCTGGGTTCTTCCATGCTGGCACAAGCACATTTGCTCAGACACATGCCCTCGGTTTCAGTGGGTGTTGTCACCCCATCCAACCAGGTGAAAATGGAATTGCATTGAAAAGGATCAATGGCGTTTAAATATAAAGAGTGTCGAAAAAATCTATCACATAGTTAGAATCTTAGGCAGTTTTGTTCATGGTGTTTGTTTGCTTGTTTAGCAGGAGTGGCAATAAGCCAAAGCTGGAGAAGCTACTACCTGTTTCTCAGCCTTTGACTGTTTTTACAAATGCAAAAGAAAGTGGAGTGTTTGTTATGCTTGAATATTCTATTATCACCTAGATATTTGTTAAAGCAATGAAAAGGATGTGATAATCTCACAAACCAATAAAATAACAAATTACTTTGTATTTCGATTTCTTTATAGTAGGCTCATATTAGGTTTCATCAAAGAACAAAATTAGCATTTAAAATATTACTTGTCATTAAAAGTTACATTTGATTATAAACTTAAAGAGAGAATATGGTTTAAAATAGTTTATTTCCATTATTAATGATTATGTGAGTAAAATATAATGTATTAGCGATGATTTGTTTTATTATACATTTTTCCCCAGGACTTGTTTATCTCTGACATTTCAAACAGAGTTTTTTTTTTTCTTTTAAATTACAATTATTTATAAATGTTTAGCTAGTCCCATAGTTCACTGATTTTAAAGCAATTTTATTTTCTGAAAATGAGCTACATTTTTCTAAACTGTATTTAGAATTAAAGTGCTGATCCGCTATCTGATTCTGCTATTGTGTTCTTTGCTATTAAATACCTAACTTTCTTGATATATTAACTACAAATTTCTTTTAACAACTTAAAGGATGAGATGTAGATGAAAATACCAAGGCAACAATAACTCTAAAGCAGTACTTAGAGTTACTTTAGAGTAACTGTAAAGCAGTACTTCTAGTTGGGAAAATTAATCTCTCATTGCCAGTAAGTTGCATGTTTCGTTGAAGTTTCATTTTGTATTTATTCCCTATGTAAAAATTTATGATAGCAAAGATGAAAGATGTAGATATGTTCTAAAATTTACACCACTGAGCTCAGGTCCATTTCCATTCATTTTACTCTCAGGCATTGGTGCGAATTTCTCCAGTATAATGAACCCTTGTACTAACTCATTTCTTTGGCTGTCTCAAGCCTGGAACTAAAAAGTATTAAGAAATAAGAGTGTTATTTAGCATGAAAATATTTGAGGATTCATAAGTGAAAAAGAAATCTTGCAAAATGGCTGGCTGTTTCGAACTACAGACAGTGAGGAGGCTCTTACTCAAAGGCCACCTTGATCTAACACATTTTACAACCAACTTGATAGACTCTCACTCAGAAAAGCTTATATAAGCTGACATGTATACACACCTTCCCTAAAAATGTGATTTTTTCAGTTCTCTTTTTAGAAATAAGACAGATTATGCAAATTTCAACTCTTTGAACTATTGTTTTGTTTATTAAGTTTTAAGCTGATGCCTTCTGTTTATAATAAAATAATCTTGTTTTTGGAAACCTAACTTAGGATACTAGCTTCAGTCTGTTCAAGTCAGGAAAGAAGGGACTGGACCCGTTATCATTGTTAATTCTACCCCATCAATGGATATGTGCTGGAACTTTCCAGGGTCCTATGGACAAGAGCAGAAAAGCCAGCATTTGCTTATGTGCATAGTCCTCATGTCACATATTTAACTGTCTAAAGTCAAAAGAATATTTTCATGTAGTAAATAATTATCATGTGCTCTGACATTTTATTTTAATTAAAAATCAATGCCAAATTAATGGGGCACTCCCACAGATAGCTTTTTATGGGAAAAAATAAACCATTAAATTAGTCTCAACAAGCAGCATATTTTTAAAGAAGTTCTATGACTTTGATTTTAATCTCAGGTGAGATAAAAGAAGAAGCAGTCACCGAGAGGGAAGCTCATTTTGGAGAGGGAAGCTCATTTTGGAGAGGAAAGCGGGGGTGAGGGGCATAAAGGAAGGTTTCTCGCTGTGGCACAATTGACATGTGGGGGCCAGGCAGTTCTTGACCATGGAGAGGGGTGGGGTGCACTGCAGGTGTTTAGAAGGCTCTCTCTTCTATTTGCATGGATGTCAGTGGCTCTGCCTCGTACCTCTGAATCCCAATGACAACTTGAACTGTTTCCAGACATTGCCTCTGGGAGAAGGGGAAGAGAGGAATCACCTGCAGAGGTTCTCGGGTTGAGACCCACTGGGTCTGCACTGGATCCGATCAGTGCATCTCAAGACATAGGGCTTTGAGAAACACCTCCAGGGCTTTTTCTAGCCACACGTGGCCCCAGTGGAAGTGTGCAGCTATAAGCCCCCTTTTGTCTCTTCCACTGGGGGGAAGCACACTGCACTACAGAGAGCAACTCTTGAAAGCCCCAAATGTCCCAAGTTAAGTAGCCAGCTTCAAGCCAAGTATCTAGCCAGATGAAATTCCCCTTGGGTTGTTCATACACATTTTTAAATTGCAGACTACAGTCCAAGAACATCATTCTCTTTCTTCCTTTGTTCTAGCAGAAAATGACTGAACATGGTGATAGCCCTGTCCTCCCTCACTCAGATGCAGGAAAGCGGCAAGCAAGGCCACAGCGCACAAGGTCCCCTCTCCCCTTCTTGTGCATGCCACCCACACACTGTAGACATGCAACGTTATACATGATTAACATTTCTCTCGGTACTATGATAGCTATTTTCCGGATTATTCTGAATGGTGATATGGTCATAATAGTGAAAAAGTGAGGCTGGTCGATAAAGATCAGAAGCACAAAAGCATGCTTTTCACTTGCCAGCTCCCAGCCACTGGCCCCATCGTCAACAAACAAGACAATCTCCTGGCTTTCTGCAGCTTTTAACAGTTCACAAATGCTTCTGCACACCTGACTTTGACTAAGCCTAGGAAATCTAATAAGCAAGGTAGGGCAGGAATTTTTTCTTTTTATCCCATTGGATGGATGGGGAAAGTCTGGGCCAGAAATGTTAGAAAATTTGTCCCTGTCAGTTATTTACTGGAGGATCTCAAAGCCAATTTCTCATCACAATGCTGTACTTTTTCCACATAAATTCGTCAAAACAGTGTTCAGCAGAGTGACAACTGTTAAAGCCATAATGGCAGTCTCAGATTCCACGCATTTTGGAATCTCTGCAAGACCTATCTTAAAAAAAAAAAAGTCAGAAAATTCTACTTACGCAGCTCTGGCCAACAGCAGTAAGGTGGTCAATCATTTTAACAATCGACCTGTGGTTGACAAAGCCATGTCTTTTCTGAGTGGAATGATGTCTCCACAGACAGGGAGATAACGTCACTTAACTCACCCACACCCATTAAGCTGACGTTGCTGCTGAACGGTGTTGTGAATGCTCCACAAAATGAACCTGGCAATATCCAGTCACTTTTTGGTTCCAGATCTCACCCTGTAAGTTCGCAGTGCCCTGGGATCGATGTGTCTTGTCTGTTAAGGAAGCAGCACAGAGCTATCTCCTAGCCAGGCTGGCAGGTGCAGATTTGGATGGGGAAGACACTGGGTGGTGAAACAGTGCCATTAACTTGCTATGAGCCAATCGAAGAGAGGAAAGGTGAAAACTTAGCTTAGAAGAAAGGTCTCTGACGCCTTCCATGGAGAGACCTGAAGGTCTCAGGCTAGCTTCCGTTCGAAGGGCACTCCACCCAGCAGGTCACGGTGACCTTGCATCTGTGATCCCATGAGACATCTTTCCAAATGTCAACATCAGGAAATCGGGTAAGAGGTACATCTTACAAAAACACAACCAAGCAAAGGGAATACTGACCTCATCTATAGCTTTCTTATAGCTCTGAAATAAGAAGAACCCAATCCAGAAGAAGCCACAGAAAGGAGAGAAAGTCAGAGAAAAGGTAGCAAGTTAGATACATTGGAATAATTTGTAAAACAAAAACGAAAACGAAAACAAAAAACCCTGATAATACAAGCTAGCAATGAGAATATGAGCGAGGAATGACGTGGATTTCTCGTTATTACTCTCAGTATATTTCCTCACTTTCATGTTAAAGACTTGACATCCATTTTGTAGAAAAGATTCTTATCAAATTTAAATAAGTTGTTAACTCTTTCCAATTTAATTTTCAAATTTCATATTTCAGCCTGTATGCTTTTATTTCATTCTTTAAGGACCCTGCACCCTCATGGGAGACCTGGAAGAAGCTCCTGGCTCCTGGCTTTGGATCAGTTCAGCTCTGGCCATGCGGCCACTAGGGGAATGAACCAGCGGATCGAAGATCTTTCTCTAAATCTTCTCTCTGTACATCTACCTTTCCAATAAAAATAAATAAATCTTGAAAAAAAGAAAATCCCCTGGCCTATCATGCCATGGTATTGATGCCAGGTTTAAATTTACATCATATGCTTATCCGTTTTGATCCATCCAATGCACTCCTAGAGGCATGAAAGATTACAGAAGAACTGTAATATTAACATACATGTAAAATACTATAGGGTCAGAGCAGAATATAAAAATATCAAACACAATGTCCAAGTCTCTTTAACTTCTAGTTTCAACATCATTTTTCCAAGGTTGCTGCATAGAAATGATGGAATGGTAGGCATTTTTCCTCCTCCAGTTTCATTTGCTAAAAGAGTGCTAATATTGAAACCCCTAAACGCAAGGAAAGCAAGCCAAGTGGGTCCATTTTCCTGCTGCTCAGGGATGATAGCCTTTTGCACTCCAAAATCTGTTCTTATTCATCTCAGTAATTTTGGCTGAACTCACGAGTGTCTTGCCAATCGCCTTACCCTGTGTGCTCCATCATACATTAACAGAGTTCACCCCTGAGTTAGAGAAGCACTCACAGCTGGTCGGCTAGGCCGGGTGATGTCCCTGGATTCCTCGGGTTTCACCTTTGAAGGTTCATGGGGGAGGACTGGCGAGCCTTCTGATTTACTGTTGGCTGTAGGAAAAAACAGAGGGTCAAGAAAGTGAGGACCACTTTCTGGATGAGTCACCCGCTCAGAACTGATTAGTGAACGCATCACTCACTCCAGTCCTCGAGTACATTCATATAAAATGATAACTGTCTGGGTAACGACAATTAAGCTTGCAACTTGGAAATGACTAGGACCAAAAAAATTGTAGCAAGGAGTATTTACTAAGCACAAGCCAGGCACAGTGCCAACTGCATTCCGTGTTAGTCATCTCACTGAATCCTTGTTCTAACACAAAGGCGTGGTGCTGTTTTTCTGTTTTACAGTTGGACACAGACTTGGAAAGATGACACCACTGGGCCAGGGGTGAGCTGCAACGAGGAAGGGAGCTAGCATTCGGACTCCTGCAAGCCCTGTTCTCAATCAGCTTCTACATGCAGTTTCTAGGCCTGCTTTGTTCTTCGATCAGTTTCCAATAGGGCAGATGATTCTGATGGACTTTTGTGGAACAAAGAGAAAGAAGAAAAGGAAACCCAGGTTATTTGGTGGAGTGCTTTTTATACTTGATCTTGGCCAAAAGGCCGAGAAGTGATGGTGGAGTGTTTTTTAAGTGAGTGTGACAAGTGGTCTGGACCTTCTAAGGAAGAAAGGCTAAGATGGTGCCCTGGACCAGAGGCCAGAGCAGAAGAGTAAGGAACACCTCTCAGGGTTACACACATACTGATGCAGAAGGTCTAATCCCGGAGAGGTTTTCACTGATACACAAGAACTGGGGATCAAAGGAAAGAATGTAAGAATTGAACCTGAATGAGATCAAGGGATTGAATTGTAATTCTTTATTTTTACATTTTCTGTAACTAACTATATGATTAGAGAAAAGAATGGGGAAAGAATTTCTAAATGTAAATTTATATTTTGGGTCCCAGCTATAGACACATATGAGGCTATGCGGTCACCCCTGACTAGAGAGGGTGGCACAGGGTGGAAGGGTGGCCTGAGGCCCTTCCACATCCCCATTCAGACAAGGACCTTATAGGGTCTATACCCAGCTTTTAAAAATGGATGCATCAGGCTGGCCCTGTTCAAAACCTCAAAGAAATGTATAGTAGGGGCTGAATGCTGCTTGTGCCTACTTAGTAGGCTTGGAGAAAACCAAGCACTGGTGGTTTTCATTATTAATGAAATTAATATGTATATTAATATTCATCAAATTGCACTTGGTAGTCCCAATCTTTATCATTGGGAAGCAAAATTATCCTCTAAAGAGGGTGATTGAGAAAGAGAATTTTGATTAGCTACAAACAATGTATTGTCATGCTCATAATGACTTGGACAACAATGATGTTTTCTGCAGGCTCCCTCGTTAATGAAAACTAAACAATGATAAATGATTTGAATCAAAAGTTTTAGAAAGGCTAATTTTTCACCCATCTAATAGGAGCAATCAGATAAGTTAAATGTATTTTTTCAAGTGAGAAATTTCGTTTCTGCCCTCAAAGGTATTTGTTCTACCTCTGTCTCCATGGGGATTTTGAGAAATACCTTCTATTGTGAACCAAGTACAGGATGCCAAACAAGACTATTGCAACAATGGAGTAGGATTCATGGGGAATACTTGAAACCATAATGATAGGTCATCAACTGGAAGTTCAGGTATCTAGAAAGGTAACACCTTGAGGTAAGACCACACTTTGGTGATGTCCCTGATGTTCTCTGATTTGTAAAACGACTTTGTCCACACTCAGTTCTCATACACACACATACACACACACACAAGTTGGGTCTGGTTGTGCACTCTTGGGAGGCAACAGAGGCTAAGATCAGCTAGAGGGCCCTGCAGTGTCCCACAGGGGTGAGTCTGGAAGCAACTTGCCTCCCCAAGCCTGGGTGTCCCCAGAAAGTGTTGTCAGGGAAGCTGAGAGCACGCTCTACCTCGGACTCTGGTGCGTTCACTGGACCCGGCTTGTGATCCCGGCTGGGAGCCTCCTTGGGAGCTAGGCTGGGAGCTGGGAGTGCTGGAGCTGGAGGAACTGCCACTGCTGGTCCTGTGCAGGGGACTCTCCAGGACAGGCTCAGTTCTCCGGAGATCTGGGTTGCTGTGTGGACAGCAGAACACAGTGATGACACTATCACAACCTGTCCATTTGCAACTCACATGTCTAGGGAGACGCATCCAAAACCTATAAGGAGCTCAAACAAGTCCATAGCAAGAAAACACAAATCAGCAAATGATCCAAATAGACCATTCACAAAAGAAGACCATCAACCCAGTCATTGTATAAAAAAATGCTCAGGGTCACTAATCATCATATATGTAAATTAAAATGACAATGACAAGTAGAAGCCCATACTTGTGAGAGGAAAGGTGAGAAATATTATTTTGTGAGGATGTTGAGAAAAGGGAACCCTTAGTGTCAATGAAAAATGCATACTAATACAATCGTTATGGAAAACACTAGATTCTTCATAACATGAAAAACAGGATTACTATAGGATTCAATGATTCTATTTTTGGCTACAAAAACAATAAAAATGAAGTCAGTCTGTTGAGGTGATACCTGCATTCTAGACAGCATTGGTCACAATTGCCAAGATGGAGAGTCAAGTGGAGGTCCACTGGTACATGAATGGATAGAGAAATGTGATGTAGTGGTAGGAGTTTGGCCCAGCAGTTAAGATGTGTGATAGAGACTATCATATCCAGATGTGAAGATACAACGCAGTAAGAATCTCTACTTCCAAATCAAAGAGCAAAACAATAAAGCTGGGAAATGCATCTTGACAATGGGGTGCTGAACTCATTGCCATTGTCCACACCTACAATGTCAAGATACACTTAAATAGCAGAATAACAAGGACTGACTTAGGACTGTTTATGAAGTACTACACTTCAGGGGAAATCAATGGGGATTTGGGAAGGAAGGAGGAGAAATCCCAGAGTCTATGGAACTGTATCACAAAGTAATAATATTTAAAAAAAAAAAAAGCTGTTTGGATGCCCATTTACCATGGTTCAACCTCCAGTTTCCTGCTAACACACACCCTAGGGAGGCAGCACTGACGGCTCAACCCTGGCCAAAGGGTGGATGATAGTTCTCTATAGCTCTTAGAAATGTTAAAACTAAAGAAATTTGATACAAACACATTACATATATCATCAAAACATGATCTACTGTTGTGGGCTAAGGAGTTGATTAGTGCTTGTTGGTATGGGCAGGAAGAGGGACTGGGCTTGTGGCTAAAAACACCTAGACTAATTGGACTCATCTCTACCCAATATCCTGCTAAATGAGGATGTGGGGGATGGGGGGCGGAAAGAGTATATAAGAAGAGGTGAAGGAGCAATAAAAGGAATAAAAGGAGACTTCCCAGAGATTTCTAACATCACTGGTCTCCCGTTGGTGCTTCATCCCCAGACCCTCTCCCTGTCCATGTTATTGGCTCTGCTGGTTGGAGCAAATGGCGCCTAACGTGGGGCACGGCACAAGGGACAATCTGAGTGACCCTTGAGCCTACAAAGGTAAGTTTAGAATTAAAAACTTTGCAGGGGTATAAGTGATTTCATCCCCAGACCCTCTCCCTGTCCTAGGTCTGAGGGACAATCTGAGGTTCCCCTGGAACTCTGGAGGGGCATTCATGATTTCATCCCCAAACCTTCTCCCTGTCCTGGGGCACCAGGGATAATCTGAGGGACCCCGGAAATCCAGAGGCAAGCTTAGCATTAAACATTCTGCAAGGGCATAAGTAAAATTTATCATGGGGGCAAGAACTTACTAAAGTGCACATGATTAAGGAAATCAGAGATCTGCTCCAGTCACAAGGAACCAACACTAAACTTCAGGCCTGGCAAAAGTTCGTTGAAAGTGTCTGTGATGTATCCCCATGGTTAACTCTCCTTGTAGAGATTTTTTTTCCCTCTGGTACTTGGTAAAAAATACTTTATTATCCCCTCAAGGCGTGGTGCAACCCTTCCTCAAAATTATCTGTAAGAAAGGGGAGAGAACCCTAAGCCAGAGTAGGAAGATAAAGGGAACCCCAAACCAGGGTAAGAAGGAACCCCAGATCAGACAAAGTCTGGAGAGACTGCAAAGAAGATTCGCGGTCCTCTTCTGAGGCGGGAAAAGGATGGAAATGAGTCTTCTGAGGTTCCTCCACCTGTAGAGCATGTGCCCATAGAGCGTGTGCCAAGCAAAAATCTCTTTTGGACAGGCATGGAGACCTCTGCGCCACCTGTGCCATCAGCGCCATTAAATTTGGGTACAGCTGTGAAAGATTTATGGGAGCAACTTCAGCGTTTCTCCCTTCAGTTGAGGTAAGATTAGCTATAGCCCCAGACAAAATACAACTTATTTCTCCATTTAATTATTTGGAATTTCAACGTTTTCAGAATTGTGTTAAATCCCCCAAACTTTCCATAGCCCAGATGTTTTTATCCATCTTTCAAAAGGCATCCAAGAATTCAAAAAATTCAAATTCTAGGGCTTCCCTTGGTATTCTTAAGAGGCCTCAAGAATGCCAACAGATTAATCTCCCATTTTGTGGAGACAGTAGATCAGGTTGATTGAATTATATTAAGATTACTGGCAAATGGACATCACACACATTCCAGAATTTGGGACACTAAAGTATGTGCATGTTACTGTCGATACTTGTTCTGGATTTATTCTAATTTATTCTAGCTACTCCTCAGACAGGGGAACAAGTCAGGCACACTCTAGCCCATTGCTATGCATGTTTTTCCATATTGGGAACTCCAAAAGTTATTAAAACTGATAATGGCCCCTGCTATACCAGCAGTAAGTTTGTGATTTTGCTGCCTCTCACCTTATACAACCAATTACAGGCATTCCTTATAATCCTCAAGGACAAGGTATTGTGGACCACACCAACCATACTATTAAGGATTACCTTATTAGAACAAAAAAAGGGGGAGTATAGCACTCCCTGAGATCATTTGAATCTTGTGTTATTTATCTTAAATTTTCTAACATTGGATGCGGAAGGATGGTCAGCTGTGGATTGTCATTGGAATCCATCTCAGAAGCAGAAGGGTTACGTGATGTGGAAGGATCCCTTGACTGGTCAGTGGCAAGGCCCAGATCCTGTCCTCACATGTGGTGAGGATTGGTTTGTGTTTTACCAGAAATTGAAAATGGCCCACGGTGGATTCCTGAGAGGCTTGTCCGGCAAGCTCCTGCTGCTGAGTCTTGTGAAAGCTTGGGTACTGGCCATGGTGATGACATTTGAGTTGGAAGATGGATGGGACAAGCAAGTATATTAGGCCTTTATACAATACATAATTAAGTTAGTATATTGTTAAGTACCCCCTTTTATCTTCCTTCTGTGAGCACCAAGGTCCTGATATTTCCCACCTTTTCTATATGGCAGCTTTGTGGGGAATGGGCATGCACTGCATGACCCTCCCCCCCTTTTTCCTTATAAAGGGAGACAACTACTCTTAGGGAAATTATTAGTTCAGTCACTCCTCGGGATTTGAGGACTCACTCATGTAGCTGAACCTTAGTTCCTTGAGTTTTAAGCCCGTGTCTGCCTGTGTTATCCCTCCATTTCTCTCTCTCACATACAGAAAACGTCTCTGAAGTGAGTTGCACCGAGGTCAGCTGCCCCCTAACAGCATGTTGGAATGGCAACGGCGATACTGCTGTTGTCATGCGGCTGCCCAGAATCCTGCCTGTGCCTGTAAGGGCTAACGGAGAGACCTCTGTTGGCCTGATAAGGCGTAAGAGGCTCTGGCATAACATTGACCATTGTAGCTAGCGTTGCCCTGGTGTAGGTAGCCACCACCACAGCAGCAGTGACCCTAGGACACCCTACAGCTCCTGTGAGACCATGAACAAGCTTGTGGAACTGACTGCCTGAGCTATGGAACAATAGAACTGTATAGATGAACACGTGCAGGTGGGCATGTTTACGTTGTAACAGTAGGTTGATTTGTTGGCAGAGGAGCAGCAGATGCTGTGGGATATGGTCACGGCCTCTTGCTCCCCATTGTATGTCTTTATGTATGTAATACCTGTGCAAGTGCAAAATGTTTTCCAAGCCAGGAACTGCTGTCTATTCATTGCTACCAAGTTAAACATACTCCTAGCCATGGAACAGGGTTACCAGCCTCCCTAAATATGGTTTGTGCAGCTGCCGCAGGCAATGCGTTGAATGGCAGCCAGAGACGGGTAAAATGGACCAGGCACTGACGAACCCAAGACATGGCCTCCATCATGCTACGGAGATTCTGATGATGGGTAAGGCTGATATCCTGAGAGTCCACAACCTAAGACAAGCACATTCAAGTCTGCTTTGAAACAAAAAAGGGGGACCTGTTGTGGGCTAAGAAGTTGATTAGTGCTTGCTGGTATCGGCAGGAAGAGAAAGTGGGCTTGTGGCTAAAAACACCTAGACTAATTGGACTCATCTCTACCCAATATCCTGCTAAATTAGGATGTAAGGGGAAGCGTATAGAAGGAGAGGTGAAGGAGCTGTAAAGGGAGACTTCCCAGAGATTTCTACCATCACTGGTCTCCTGTTGGTGCTTCATCCCCAGACCCTCTCCCTGTCCATGTTACTGGCTCTGCTCTGCTGGCCAGGGCAATCTAATGCTAAGTGTGCCACTCACGGAGACAGAGCAGAAAGGGGTGAGGATGCGGAGATTGTTGGGTCCAAAGAAATAGCTTCAGGGAGAAGGGAAGAGTCAGTCTTGGAGGTCTACTGTTCACATTGGAGACGACAGCACGACCGTGCATACCTCAACAGTGCCATGAGGGTAGTAGGACCTGAAAGTTTTCCTTACAAAAGCTTGTAACTAGGAGAGGTGATGGATATGTTAATTTCCATGTTTATGGTAATTAACTTGCAAGGTATATATATGTTGACACTTCATGTGGTACACCATAAATCCATGTAATTTTTATTTTTCAGTTATACCTCAAGAGCTGGGGACAGGGTGGAAAATGACCTTGCTATTGGCAGACTATTAGCATAGTCCTGTTTCCCCCACTGGTGTAAGGGAGTAAAGAAAGCACTTACGAAACCTGGTGATGTGGGGTCAATGGAGGAGGATGGGCGTGCCCACCCCCCTGAA